GACGGACTGAATACTATATAATTAGGGTGGCGTTTTCACCCTCCTTAAGGTTGTAAGAGTAACCGGGTCCTCTTGAAGTCAATAGGAGATGCGTATTTTTTTTAAGATGCCCAGGGCACAGTGGTCCGTGTCTATCCACACTGTGCAGGAAGCTTGAAGTGGTGTGCGATTCTTTCCACTAATCCCGTTTTCACCATCTTGCCTTTTTAATTCAAAAAACTTTCAACTGGAAAGGTGAAGGGTGGATCACCAAGTGGGAGGACAAGTGTCACTCTGGGTGTACCTACAGTGTTCCTACAGCAGTGATTCTCAACAAGGGTGTCATAGCACCCCGGGGCGTCTTGAGGTCTTTTCAAGAGTGTGACACACTGGTGTCTGACCATGTTTTACAAGATAAGCCCAGGTATTTCAAATAGGAGTTCATAGTGGCAAAAGCATTCGGACCTATTGAGGTCTTACTGAGTTCTTTGTAAGAGAAGAATTGCTCTTTTATTTTTCTTTAGTCAACACATGGGTGAAAATGAAGAGCTGGCGTTTTCCGAGGGGCGCTTTAAGTCTATTGAGGGGGGCCTCGAGTCTAAAGAAGTTGAGAGCTGCTGCTCTATGGCAAACCTGAACATGTTTCTGAGGAGCAGGCTCCATCCAGTCTTCCCAACTCAGGTCCGGGACAGACATTGCATAAACCGGTTTGAGCCAAGTTGGTTAAGTCTGATCCTGCATTCAACCAGGTTTATCTCAAACTGGCTTCAGCCATTTCCAAGCTGGTTTACGTGCACTGAACATCTGTTCTGTTATGGGTTTAAACCAGGTCACTTAAACCGGTTTATGTGTCATGTCTGTCCCTAGCCTGTGCGACTTAGACCGGGCACGAGACAGTGTAGCCAGCTTGACACTGCATGCTGGTTACATGATGTACCAAGAGCACACTTCTCAGTGGCACTCCTAGGAGGCAGTGTAGATGTGCCCTCTGGGACCTGTCGGGAGGTCGGAAGGGAGAGGGCTTGTCCGCCATCGCTCCATGCGGTTTATCAAGAAAAACAAGCTGACGCAAGAATGTAGAGCAGTTCAATGTGGGTGCTGGCTTGTTCTATGCCGACAGCCTGTATCAGTAGAGATGACCATGCTGCAGGTTCGAGATAAGTGCAGCTGAGGCCCTGGCAGCTGTAGGAGGAACAAGCAAGGGGAAGAGATGATTTTTTAGTAGTGTCTTTTGCCGCCTGCCGATGGAATTAGACTCCACGAGGGGAACGACCCCGATGAGGAGGAAGCATCGTGTTGACTTTGGTTTGGGTGAGAATCGTTCTTCTGAATCTCCAGTCTGAACTGGAAACCCCTCCGGCCTGAAACTTCTGACTCAGGCATTCATAGAGGGCAAGGGTTTGTGGGTTTTTTTTTTTTTCAATTTATTTATGTTTTTTTTTCTCCTTTGTCTCAGTTCACATGTTTAAGCTTTTACCAGCAGCCCGTAATGACTACTTTTTTTGAAAGGAAAGCTGAGATTTTCCCCTTATTCATGCGATGGTGGGAGTAGGGCCTTTAATCAGTGATGCAGAGTATTGTATTGGCAACCCTGGAGCATCCGCACATGTTTTTATTGGGCTGTAGCTGACTCTACGGGTTTGTTCATGTCTTGGAAATTCTTCACTTGTGGGTCTTTGCCTTCCCAAGTGGTGGGGGATAGTTTCCCACAGCAACATTTCCCTCCTTCCAAAACTCTGGGTCCTTAGGGGGAGGTAGGGCAGGCACTGGGGAGCACATGCACCATTGCCTGGCTAGCCCTGCAGCTTCACGACCTGTCTGTAGGACACCTTTCTTGGTGGGGACTTTCTTTTTTAATAGCATCACCCAGGTGTGCAGCACTGTGGGGTGGGGAGACCACACATGTCGAGAGAGAGAGGATGACTGGGTGCTAGTGGATCTGGATCATAGGAAAGTAGGGCTAGAAGGGACGTCATGAGGTTACCTAGTCCAGCCCCTTGCTCAGGGCAGAATCATACCTGACTAAACTACCCCAGCCAAGCGTCTATCCAACCTAATTTTTAAAATTTCCAGGAATGGCGATTGCACCACTTATACAGTTTGGGCTTGTTTTCAAACCAGACTGGAGAAGACGCTTTAAATGTTTTCTTCCAGTAAATTATAATCTTGTAACCGTTCCCAAGATTGGCTATAGTCCATTACCACATCTCATTTTCTTGGAATTAAAAAGGCATGCTTAGCATAATGATATGGTTTCCCCCACTCTTCCTCCCCAAAAAACACAATTTTCCTCACTAATGTAAGTAAAAAAAAAAAAATAAAAAAAAAATAAAAAAAAATCTTGAGGTTCTTTCTTTATTTTGCAAGGTATTTACTTGCTTTATCTTTTATGTTTATTGACTCGATGAGCCTGAAATCCGAATTCTGGAAACACCTTCCCCTGAATTTCACATCCAGGCTTTGTCCCCTTGTTTTTCCTCTGTTCCTTTTATTACAGTGGGACAATGGAAATGTCCCGGTCCTGTTTCTTGGGCCCAATCCAAAGCTCAACGAACTGAATGGAAAGATTCCCATTGCAACCAGTGGACTTTGCACCTGACCCCTGCGTACCCAGGGCTACAGTATTTGGCTTGCAAATATTGTTTAAATCTAGATCAAGACCACTACTGCTGACTTTTTGAAAGTGTAGACGTGAAAAGATTTCTCTGTACGGACTGCCTTGGAAAAACGTCTTTGCTATATATAAGCTATAACCCCTGTTGGGCATTCAGATCTGTCGGTGTAGAAACCTGGGTTTTGAGTGGCTGCTGATGGACTTTGCTGTTTACATGCATAAATGCTACAGGCGTCTGAGCTGGGACCATAAGCTTTGCATCAGCTCGTCACTTTGTCCTGTCAGAATAATGGAAACTTCCCAAGGTTTAACTATGCTACTGAGTAACCTGTCTTTCTCCTTAGTATTTATATTGTTACCCTTGTTAAATCTATTTAAAATGATTGATTTGGCACATTTAAATTGATCTCTCTCTCTCTCTCTTTCTCTCTCTCTTTTTTATATAGTTCCAGATTACCTTTCTTTATGGTTTGATTAGAGGGGAAATGTAAAAATAGCTGAGTCGACCAAGGGGAAAGTAAAAGCCTTAGTTAACAATTTCCCCCCCACCCCCCTCTAATAAGCATCGTTCAAAAAAGCAGATACTTAACCAATTCATTATTAATGATATCTGCGGAAATGCTCCAGCTCTTCTCTACAGAAGGAGAAGCGTTTCTCAACCTCCAGCACGCTGATTGCATTTAGTTTTGTAGTTAATTGAAAGTTAATGTACACCGGGGATGACCGATATATATGTTCTGAGGTTAGCTGTGTTTGAAGGAGCCATGGTACATAATATGCCTAATTCATTAACGAGTCAGTGAAGAGGAAAGATGAAGAGCTTTAATCACTGCATCAAGATGGGGAAATAAATGATTGTTATTGTTTAGATAATGGGCAATTTAAAGAGGCCAGTTAGGACATTGCTCTAAATAATTTACATTATTATTACTACTGTTATTACAACTATTACTACTGTAATGTGAATGGGATGTGTGTAACAGGATATTACAACTATTACTACTGTAATGTGAATGGGATGTGTGTAACGGGAGGTGGAACCGGGGGGCAGTCTGAAGAGCTGCGATGTGTTCATTTGGACTGCAACTCCCAGCAACCCCCGGAGGCTGGGGGGCAAGGGGAAAGGGAAGAGGAAACTGGAGTTAGGGGAAGAGAGAGCACGTGCATGTGAACCTGGTCAGCCCTACGCAGGGGAGCGCGCAGCGGAGTCGGAGATCGGTGGAGTTGGGTGGGAATTAAGGTGCTACCACCGTGTTGATGTTTCTTTACCGTTCACCTGTTCCTTCTCTTTGGCCCATTGGTTTGTGACCTTAACCCCTATGATTTTCTATATAAAAGTGGGAGCTCCCCTTTGCTCTTGTGCCGGTTTTTGGACTGCAGGGTTGGCACACCATGCTGTTACTGCTACTACTATTGCACCCCAAGGCTTCTTCCAGGGCCAGCGCTCTGTCCTACAAGGGTCTGTGCAAACATGCAAATGCACAACCAAATTCACGGCTCCAAAGAGTTTACAGTGCAAATCCTACTGGTGCAGCTGTGAGCAGAGTGATTTATAAGTTGCTGTCACTTGAAGGTGGTTACTCAAATGTGGCATGTCCGTATTGCAGTGGGGCGGCGTGATTGCTGTATCTGAGCTAGCGCGGGTGCTAGCACCCATTCAAGCTGTACACGTCTATCCAGGACCCCCGTGCTTTCTCAGGGGGTTAGTCTGTACTGAAGTCCGTGCTGCCACATCTCCGGTGCTGGTGGCACTCAAGCTAGCCGGATTGAAACTCAGGCTTGGTGTGCCCTGCATTTCTCCTGCTTCAGGATGGCAGTCATTTGCCAGTGGCCTGTACAAGCTGGTGTGTTGTGGAAAGGAAGGAGAGAAGGCATAGTGAATCAGGAACAACTTGGTTAAAAGACCGTTGATTGTACATCCTCTTAATCTAGCACTGGACCGTGCTGCTTTTCAATGCACCGGACGTATGCGCAGCTTCTGTTGAACCCGGGAGCAAGAAGTACTGCATGGGCAGATCAAATCTGCAACTGGCCTTGTAATTAAGGCATTGCATTGGGGTGGGGTAGATCTGATTCCTGGTCCTACCTCATCCATAGATTTCCTTATAGTACCTTGAGTATGTTAATGCATATCTGATCCAGACCTGTTAAAGCTTATGGAGGAAACCGGGTTGATTCAGCACATTTGGGTTGAGTTCATCTCTCTCTTCCTCACCTGTACAGAGGGAATTATCATCCCCATCTCAAACCCAGGATCCGGAGATGTTCAGCTAGTGCATCAAAATAGACCAGGGGACAACAGTCAACAGACAAGTTAAATTTTCTGTCTTTAAACTGCAGGGTAACTCAAGACTGCCCTTACTTGGGTGGAATAGGTTGCTCACTGTTGTATTTTTCTGTCCTCTAGGAAATTCTTGCTGCAGGATGAATTAGGAAAGGAAGAAATCTGAACAATGGAGACGAGGACGTCTTTGATTTCCAGCATGCAGGAAACACAGCATCTATCCCAGGAGAAGGGCCAGAGTCCAGCCAATGGGAACAGAGAGCAGTTTGATTCAGGTGAGCTTTTGTGCTTTTACTTGTTTCACTTTTACGTTTAAATCCTTTTTTTTCTGGAAGAAGCTGAATTTTATTCTTTGACATTTAGAGAAAGACCAGAAAAAAACTTGATAAAATGATCGCAGAACATTTTTCCTGAGTTTTTCAACCATTTTTTTTTTTTAATGTTGGGGGGGCCGAAAATGGAAAATTATACCCCCCCCCTTTTTTTTTTTTTCCCTTTTGGTGAAATTTTTCCCTCTTTCTGTTTAGCAGCTCTACTAAGTTGCTTTTAGGAAATATTTTTGACCCAAGCATTTTAATGGAGAATTTTTCACAAAGCATCTCCCTGCCGGCAGAGTGTACACTTTGCATATGGTGTTTTTAGGTGTGCTTGCAACTTTCATTAGGATTGGTTACTGCACTTGGGATCTGTGGCTATCACCTTGCCTGGGTAATGGTTTTCTCTGCCCAGAAACCTAGTATGAGGCCTGTATGCCACTGGCATCCTAGTTAATTATTCCAGATAGGGTCCAGTGCCGGATCTGTGCCCCAGACCTCTGGACTGGGGCAAACATTCCTGAATGATTTGATAAGCATCTGCAGAACTATTAGTGTGGCTTTTTTTTTTTTTTTAATCTAGAAAAAGCCTTTAATTAATATTTTTAATCTTTTCCTATTTTTATTTGGAAAATTGAAGGCAGTGTAGTGGTGGGCTTGTTAAGGTGCTGACTTAGGACTGGCTTGGGTTCAGTTCCTACTTGTGCCACCACTTTACTTGGAGATCACTAACTGTTTTGATCCTCATTTCTCTCTGTTCTGCTTGCTTGTTGTATTTTTGTATCCCACTCTTTGTCCGTCTTGTCCAATCAGGACCAGCTATTTGAAGATATTTAGAAGCAAACCCTTCTGGGTTTTAGTGGGACTGAGGGTCCTACATATCTGTAAAAGTCAAGCTCTGAGCTCTTGAAGGCAGGGACTGTATCTCGCTGTGCCCAGCACAGAGACACCGTGCTGATGGATGGGGCATCTCAATAACTAACCTTCAGTATTGAACTGTTCATCTTCTGCAAGTTACTGAGTACTTCATGCATTGTACATTATGGTGTTTGCCTTTTTGCTAATAAGGCTAAATGCTTTTTCCAGCAATCCTGCATTTCTAGGAGACTGACACGGGATATGTTGCTTTTGAGTTAGTAATGATGGAGTGAGGTCTAGATTTCTAAAAGGGCCCCTGCAGCACCCTCTTGGCTCCCCTGGGGAGGGTGGGTGTTTGCTGTAGATGCTGATGGGTGCCGAGTCGTTTGCTGCTATGATCCTGATTTTTTTTTTTTTTCCGTGATTTTAATCTTTCCTTTCACTACCAGGTGGGAATGGGGATCCCCTAAAGCTGCACATTGGAAAATAATGTGGGGGGCTTTTGGAAGTTCTAGGTGTTGAATTAATTCTCCTCTTGTCCAAGTCAATGACCAATTAAGTGGGAAGACGCTGGGTGTGTCTGGATTAGTCTTGATAGCCCCTTTCCAGTCCTCTGTTCCTATGTGAGCATCCTTACTGCCTGCTTTCTGGGGTTGATGTATGAGGCGGGTAGGATTTAAACCCTTGGCGGGGGAATGGCTGTTATTCCTGAGGACTTTGGTCCCCTCATACTCTGACATGATTGCAGGAGGAGTTTGAATTCATTGGACATATCTGCTCATGGAACTTGTTTCTTACTTAAAATAAATTTCCTTGGCAGCTGATCATTTGAAACCTGCTTTGAGGTTCCTTTGCCTTAGAAATCAGGTCTTTTATTTCAGAGGTTTCTCACTGGGGATACCACTTGTTCGGCTTGATGGTGCAGGTAGTCCTACAGTCTGTCTTAGCAAAGCGTTGGTGTCTTGTCATGTTTTGTAGACTGTGTTCTCTAGACTGGCTCAGAGTGGGGTTAATTCACACCAGGGTGTTAAAAGAGTAGCCCTGGTCCAGATCAGTTGGGCTGTAAGCTTTGGAGTCATTTTTTTGTACAGCTCCTAGCACAGGTGGGGGAGGGTCTGATCCATGCCTGAGGCTTCTGCAATAAAAATAATAAGCAGTAACAGTGCACTTGCCCTCCAGGTGTGGGTACCAGCCATGGGGTGGTGCAGGTGATAACCACGATGGGAAACCAGAGGGGAAAGCTTTCTTTGGTGAAAAGGAAATGCTCTCCATTTACTCACAACAGGCGAGCGTGCTATGTGCTTCGTATTAGTGATAGGAGAATCAGGCCCGTCTCTTGAGCTCGGATGGGAGGGGGAACAGGAGACAGACCATCATTTAAAGTAGGAGGATAGGAGGGATCAGTGATGCTGGTCTGGGTGCAAGGCACTTCTGGGATGTAGGGCAAGCTGATTAACTCTCCAGATCAGTGGTACCTGCTTGTGGCTTGCTTGTGGCCTCTGAGACCTGTTGCTTTTGGTTGCAGGAAGATTTGCTTTGCATAGGTAGAGATGGCTTCAGGTTGGCACGGAGAGCAGAGCACGATGGTGCCAGTGGCATGTTGCTTGCTCAATCTGGTGGCCTGGGGGCCTGCACAAGTTGGAGACCATGGCATTTGGAGACCAGGTCTTTTCTTGCTGTTGCTCTGATGTTCCTAGTATGGATGTCGTTAGGTTAAAACCCTTAGGTTCCTGGTCGAATGAAGCTGGTGCCACGACAGATTGGTCTGGGAAGTGCCTTTTCAAGTTGTATTTTTCAGCTTGCTTCTGTCTTTAAACTCCAAGGGGCTGTTCTGGGCAGCGCAGAAACGACTTTGAAGTCTGAAATGAGTGGGCCTGTTTGGACTGCATTATTACTGTGCACTTGTTTGGTCACAGTTCATTGCTGAAGTCCGGGGCGGGGTTTGAGCACTTGTAATTAATTTGGTTGACATGTTCCGGTATTGCAGGGTGGGGCAAGATCACCTGGCCCTTCCCTTCCGATACATGGGAGGTAGCAGGAATTAGGCAGGGATCCCAAATTTTTTTCCAACTGCCTGGGTCACGAACTGTTTAGCCGGTGACAATCTGATGCAAAATGTGTGGAAAACCCAGAAATAATCCTGGACTGGAGCCCGGGCCTTTCCATCTCAGTTGGGTGCCCTAACTAGTAGGTGATAGAGTCCATTTGGATCACTTCTCTGGGGCCAAGTGCTTCATTATTAGCTGTTGCAGCCTGTCAATGAAGGTGTTTATGGGTTCAGAAAGACCAGCTCCCCCCCGCAAATGATTAGGCATCAAGTTCCCATTGAAATGAATGAGACTGAGATGCCTAAGTAGGAGTTGGGTATCTGCATACCTATAAGGGTCTAGGCCTAAAGGATTTGCCCAAGGTCACACAGAGAGTCTGTGGCAGAGCTGGGACTTAAACTCAGGTCTCCCAAGACCTAGTATTGTGTATCAGCCCCTGGACCACCCTCCTCCTTCTCCATTTTCTCTTTTCAGGTTGGACGTGAAGACAACTCTTTTGTGAACAAAGTGTAAAACTTAACTAGTGTGTATCAATAGGTAGAGGTTAAAATCAGAACTACTCGGCCATCCATCTGAGACTCTCGACTGCTAAACTTGGAGACTTTTCCCTTAGGTGGGGCAGTAGGGATTTATGCTTTCAGAGTAGAAGGATCTCTCTCTTTTTTCACACTATCACCGTGAGGTTCCCATAGTACATAGTGCCAATGGTTATGTCTTTAGAGGATGCGGTGTTTTTGTAAGAGCTTGCATTTTTACAAGCTGAGGCTCTCCTAGCTCTTTCAAACTACGGAGAGAGCAGATTCATTTTGTTTGTATACTGAAGCCTTAGGTGCATCTACTTAATACAGCCTAACAGGACATGAAACATATGGTGGATTTGGGCTTTTGCTAGGCTTGACTGTTTCACAAAAAAAAAGAGCTTAGGGTGAAAGGCTCAATAAGTGATTTGCCAACATACAGGGGTCAAATAAGCACCCTGTAGAAGTAAAATAACCATCTCCCAATGAGCACGGTGGGAGCCTGACCCCATTGAGATGAACAGGGAGTTTTGCAGTTGGCTTCAGTGGAAGCCAAGTTTTCATCCTTTGAATGCATGACTCAAGCATTTGGAGGTGATATAGATGGCTTTGTGATCATCTCCCTTGTAGTAGACACAGTCATAAAGAATAATATTAAAAACGCTTTGTATTTCTAGGAGGGGGTGAAAACACTTGATAGAGCTGAGCAAGAATCATCCTTCACACTTCACTGGTGGGGGAAACCCGGGCAGTATCCAAGTATATCACGGATAGACTTGGAAATAGAGCCCAAGTGTCCTGACTCCCTGCTCCAGGTTTAGCCCTCTAGGTAATATTGCCTCCAGCCTGGGTAATGCTATGGCAGACCAGAATCAATAAAAATGATTAGGGGAATTTCCAGTGTCTTCAATTTCTCTGATAAAACAGAGCTAAAGAAGGCACTGACGCGATGATAAATGAGCTCCCTGACATTATTTTTACAGACCCAGTAAAAGTAATTTCCTGATAAAGTCTGTAGATAAAATGCTGGAGAGAGATCAGGCTTGTGAGGTGTCACAATGAAGTGGACGGACTGGCAGTGAGCGAAGCCTGCCGGCTGCTCCGTAGAGGGTGCGGGGAGAGGCATGCGCCCCTTGGCAGTCTTCTGGACTAAATCTCTCCCTTTTTGATTTTGATTCACAAAGAAGAGAATTAGGCAGTTTTCAAAAGGGGCAGTATTTAGGTGTTTTGATGGACTTTGCGCATCTGAGTGCTGAATGCCAGCAGAGCCTGATTTCTCCTGATGCTCAGTGAACAGTGGGCAGACAATCCTGGAGAGCTGGTTTTTGTGCCACACAGCTTGAAATTTCTGTACTTCCATTTCTGCTTGGTCTATGCCTTGTCTAGTTCAACTCTAAGTTCTGGGGCCAGAAACTCTCTTACATACTTTTCTTTATGGTTGTATGCATATACACATGCATATGCATACATGTGTGTACGTGCCTGTACATTCTCTCACACACACACACACACACACACACACACACACACACACACACACACACATATATATGTATTTATGTACCTTCCCTTATTTGAGGAAGAGCTTTTTAAATATTTAAGCCCTGGTACTCTGTACTGCTGAATACTACACTCCTGTCCGGTGCCAACACCCTTATACCCATCACACCGACACACAGGTGAATGCCGCCACGCGAGTAGTAAGTGGCACACTAAAACCTGTGCTGCTTCCATGGCTGTCGGTGTTATCGATCATCGCTCCCTCCATGGTGAGAAGGGGTCCAGTTGTACTTTGGAGAGTATGAAAAGATCATGGCTGACCATGAACTCCCATTGCATGAAGATATCACCCACCCACCAAGTTGTAGGCTCAAGTCGAGGAAACCTTTCTGGTTACGTATGCTCCAAACTTTCATTGAGCAGTCTGGATACTGAGAGCTGGTGGCGCAAAATCTGGTCTGCAGCAACAGTGCAGCAAAAATTTGGTTGTAGATTTGACCATCAAGCTTCTGGGTTTCCATCTGCAATGCAAATATTCGACGGCACTGAACCGCCTTCATACGGGACATGGAAGGTGTGCCGATTTATTGAACAAATGGGCCGTCAAGGACTGACTGAACTGTGTATGCGGTGAGGTGTAGTCAGAGAGCCACATTGCAAACTCCTACCCTGAACTTGCTTATCATGGAGGGATTGAAGCAATCCACTTAGCCGGCCTGGCTGTCATCAACTGGCTGTCAAACCTCAACCTACAACTTTAATTCACTTGCACTTTTTCTGCCGTTGCTTGCCTTAGCCATACGAAAGAGAGCGAATATTTAATGACAGGATTTCCCTAGCATTTGGTATCAAATTGGTTTAGCAATTTGAGTGTTGTGCTCACTTACAGGACTCTGCATTTGTTTTATTTGTGTTTCATTAGCACTCGCAGACGACAGTTCAGCAGTGGCCCTATTGTGCTAGGTATGGTACAGATACATAATGAGAGCCAGCTCCTGCTCTAACGAATTCACCAGTCTAAATGGAGATGAGACGCTAAAGTGAAGTTACTTGCTGAACTCCTAGCAAGCCCAGCTTGGTGTCCTGGTTTCAAAGGATTGGGAGCTATTGCTAGCTCGTGAAGCTATGAGTGGGAAGCAAAGAAAAAACTTTCTCATGGATGCTTTCTTATGATGATACTTTAGTAGGGGGGCAGAGAAGTTGGATCTCAAGATTAGAGAGCAGATGGAAGAGACTACTTTTTACCCTATATGCCCACCTGGGAAGAACAGCCTGGAAGGTAATACATGCACTGCAATGAACTGTCTAGCATGTGTAAGCATGATTTCTGGAAGGCAGAAGCTGGGCATCACAGGCATTATAATGAGCTGTAACTGCTCTTGGGTTATTATGCAAAGTAGTGTAACAAGCTAAGTATATAGCATATACCTAGATGCTATCCTATAGCTATATGCTATACTGTAGCTAGTATATAACAAGGTAAGCCATTGATTGTAGACTTGGCCAGCTTTAGCCACCTCCGATATTCCTGGGAAGAGAAATCTGAATGTCTTTGGGGGGAAAAAAGTGTGAGCGTTTTCTGTTCTGTTCCTCCTGTGCTTGTCACGGAGGTAGCGGAGGGTGTATATATAAGTGTAGTTGCCAATAAAGGATGAAAAGACTTTTGAAAATAAAGGCTTCCTTTTCTCCACGTTGCCTTTCAGGAGCTCCCGCCACACAGGGCTTATGAAATGTCCCCTTAGCTGGGTTTTGATGAACGTAGTGGGTGCTTCTGAGGTGGATCAGTTGGAATTGGCACGCAGATGCTGCCCTGGCATCTGGAAGTCTCTTGTTCACATCGCACCTTCATTGAACTGTAAACCAGGTAGTCCTTCCCTTTTGGGATCCTTTTCGCTTAGACTGAGTTGATCACAAACCCTGGTGGCAGATCTCTGTTATGAGCATTTTTTCTTCCTAGGGGCTGTCTGAGCACCCGGTGAACAGAATCTGGATGTAAAGCCTCCTAACGCATAAGCAAAGAAAGAGCTGCTTTATTTCCCTGTTTTGCCAGAGGAGAGCAGCGATCATTGAGGCTGTCCCTTTGCATAATACGAGCCGAAGAACCTCATCCAGCAATTTCTGTTCAAGCCCATACCTCCTGCTCGAGCTTTTGCAAGTCACCTAGGACACCCAGTCCTGACAAGACTTCAACTGGTGGGAGAACCACCATGCCTCTAGGTGTGTAGCTAACCACTGGCACGGTCAAAAGAAAATGCACACCTGGTTGCTAGTCTGAATTCCTCTGTCTTCACCTTCCATACATTGGATTGCATTATGCTTTTTTCTACAAAGTCAGGAGTGCTCAACCTCCAGCCCGTGGGCCAGATCAGCATCTCTGAACTGTATCATCTGGCCCCTGGGGCTCTCTATGAGTCTGCAAATTTGACAGTGGGAGAGTGGAGCAGTGTTCATTGCTGCTCCCCTGCTGGCAAATTTTTGGACCTGTATGGAGCCCCGCATACGGGATAACACAGCTTTACATACCATATTGCACCAGTGTGCGGCTAGATCTGGCCACACAGGGTCATGCTGGCACACATCTGGGTCTGGGTATGTGGGGCTGGGCTGACGTGCTGGATCGTACTTGCAGAGTAAACCCGTGCAGGATCTGGCCCGCAGACTGTCCCTTTGCCACTCATTCAGTCGGTTGGGTACCATTGTACTAGGTGACAGAGCCACCGTCTCTGTGTTTCTTCAGTAGATTCATTCCTGATTTCTACTGCCATAGTCGCACCAGGTTCAAACAGCACAAATCAGAGGAGACTCAGGGCCATCATCTTTAGAAACCAACTTTCATAAGTCGCTGTGCTATATTTGACAGCTTTTGGAGCTGTGACTTCTCTGAACTGCTACCCAAGCCTCCCCCCGCGCCTAGCCAGCTCTTATACGCTGACACATTTCTTTTTTTTTTCTTTCTGATGCATGTGTCTGGCACCGTGGGCAGCAAATATAACCTGTTTCTTTCCCTTTTAATAATGAGAGATTCACATTACACAATATAATTTTCTGGTCTTGAAAACCGGAGACCTGTAGCAATAATTGCAATAAATTAACCCTGCCGTTTTCTTCATAAAACTGTCTGGGGAGGTTACTTAATTCACTTTGTCATGAGTCACTTTAATTACATCATGACTGGGCTGATGAATGCCCGAGTAGGTAAGGGGCTCTCGGAGTTTGCCTGATAAATGCTTATTGCTGGATCTCGCTGTTTGGCTGTAAATATTTGGCTCTGGGACTGAGCCTGGGTTTACAAGATTGTTTCTGTTTTGTTTCCAGGCAGTCAGATTTGGCTGCTTTTCTGCAAGCAAAACAAGATTTATTTATTTTTTTTAGTTATTTATATTTGTATTTCATAATCACTCGGAGCCTCTAGCCCCCTTGCAATAGGCTTAATATAGATATGCAATAGAAGTATGAATGTTTAGCGTGCTTTCGCTGCGGGAGGAAGTATAATGTAGGGTATAATACTCAGGCATTGGAGACTAAATGTTCTTAATTTGGCCGTTGACTCCTGTGTGACCTGAGGCTAGTAGACACTTTGATCTATGCCTCAGTTTCTCCATCCATGCAATGGGGATAAAATTGAATTCTTCACAGGGATGTTTGGTAGCTCAATTAATTGGGCAGTGCTCAAGCCCCTTCACATGGGACTTGTTGCAGAAATACAAACCAGTGTCAGTAGTTATAAAAGGAGACCGAAAAGCATCGCTAATCATGATTAACTCCTCACAGCCACAGCGAGAGGACAACCTCTGCCCTCCAAACTCGGTTTCCTACTCCTTCAGAGTATCCACAGAGCATAAATGTTTTGGGCCACCAGCTTGGTTACTTACTTGGCACGTTTTCCTGTAGTGCCACACACTGCTCTGTCCCGGTGACCGGAGGACCATAAGCTGCCATTGAATGACAATATCCAAACATAAGTCATGAAACAGTTCCATCGTTTTTCATTGCTACATGTAAATCCAAGTATACCAGAAGCTGGTTCATTTTGTGTTGGAAAGCATAATTGCCAAAGTCGTCTAACTAAACCATCTGGTAGAGACGCAGTGAAATCCAGGTAACTAGGTAAGCACAGCAGTTAAAACAGCCACATTTTCTTTTATCCAGGTTTCGGTGTTTGTCGCTGTCCTGGTCTGGGGTCCCGGCTGGCGCTGTTGGGCAGTTCATGGCTTTTAGCAACCGCGTTCTAATTATTATTATTTTTTTTGCTTTTTTTTTAAACAGATGAAGGGTCAAGCTTAGAGGATACTGATTTTAATTGGGATGAATACTTGGAAGAAACGGGAGCCAGCGCTGCTCCTCACACATCGTTCAAACACGTACGTACTTTGTCTGGGCCTTGAAAATGCTGTTTGTATTGCCTCTTCGTTTTCCTTGGACAGGGTCATTCTGGAAGATTAAGGCTGTGACTGATGGTTCTTGGGGGAAACATCATCAGGCATTTTTCTCTCCTTCTCAAACGGTGTCCTCCATTACAAGTGCTGCTGCCGAAATCAGTCCCTGCCCCTACTCAAATCTCCTTTCTCTCTCTCTTTCTTCCTTGCTAAAATCCTGTTTACCCCTCTGCTCTCCTCCCCTTATCTGTACACTTCTGGGTCTGTATGCATTGCAAACAAGGTGGGATTGCTGCATATTCGTTCCTCACCAATCTGGCTTTAAGCTAGCCAATTTAGCTACTGATAACACAGTGCATGGTAGCAAACTGCCCAAGACAGGCTGCAAAACCTGCCCAAGTAATTGGTGAATAGCCTTACTTCACCTCCAAGGTACCACAGCTGTACTTCCAACAGAGCACAAGCCAAGCAGCTTGGGTTTGTCTACACGAGCCACATTTACCTACTTGATTGTAGTGTAGACACACCCCTTGTCATCTTACCGGCCACATCAGAGTTGGGATTTCTCTGAGATTCTGCATTGCTTTTCCTTCTTTTCCTCTTGCCTCTTTCATAGTCTCATTAATTTTTCCATGATGCTCCAACACAAATCTCTCTTGCACATCCTTCCGTTTCATCAAAGCTTGTCTTGAAACAAAAATGATCTGGGAAGCCTATCTATGTTAATTTGCCTTGTTACCAGGGAGTACCTCCACTTCTCCACACTGAAGATATCTCAGCGGGTATCTCAGAGATCCCTTCTGGCAGCAATTTGGCTACTTAGGGCACTTGGAGCCATACATAGGTCTACAAATATGATACCCTCACTCATGGAAATGTGGGTTTATTTGTACAACGAGAGTCCTGGAAGCATTGTAATAAATACAGCCACTGTCTGCAGTCCTGACCCATGCTTTTTTCAGTTTGTGGAGGAGAGCCAAGAGCACCTGCGATGGTAAAGACCCCCTTTGAAGAGGAAGCTATCTCCATCCTAAAGCACAAGAGAGTATCTTCAGGATGTAGGAAATCATTGCTCAGTGTGACCAACCTTGCCACATACCAGCCATTATTGAACTCTCCCTTTCCTAACTGGGAGGCTTCACCTTTTGTCCCTGCTGGATACTAGATCCAGTTGAACGTTTCACTCTTCATCTTCAAAATCCTCTATGGGATGGAAAGGTCTTTGATTTCCAAGGGAGCCCCATTTCATTGTGCATGATCATCCCCCCCACCCAGCAACGTCAACCTCAAGAGCAAGACGTGTGTGCTTGTGTGTATGTGTACATGCTTGTGTGCGTGCTTGTGTCCCTCCATGGTGACTATTCTCTTGAGTCTGGAACTTATTTTCAGAGGAGGTTGGGTGGACCTCTCTAAAGGCATTGGGGTTTGTGAAGTAAACAGCCTGCTTGTTTGAATTAACCTTTGTACTGTTGCATCATATCGTCACTCTCTCATGAAGGATGCCATGTTTTCCCCTCTCATAAATAGCAAACTCTGGTCCTTACAAACAAGAGCAGTGAGAGAACTACAATTTAATCATTTTGGAAGGTGCTTGGTCACCACGGGCGCATCTACACGAGACCATACACAGAAGACTAATTCAACTGCGCATTAGTGCGGCAGGAAAAGCCTGTGCTAATGCACAATAGAGTTAGTCTAATGCACAAGAGTGTCACAGAAAAACGTTCATCTGTGCTAACGTGCAGTAGTGCCGATTATGGCGCATTAAGTTAGTACCCGTCATTACAAGCACTAAACTTAATGTGCCGTAATTATGGCTCATTAATGAATGTGTAGACGCGCCCCATGGTGATGGATGCCACAGATGAACTTCCATAGAGGTGTGTGATCCTGAGACCAAACTGCTCCTGTTGTTTTGAGACTTTCAAGATCTGACAAAGACCACATTTTGGGGTTAAGGAAAAATAGGAAATGCTTTCCTTGGCTCATTCATGCAGATCTTACTGATACTTAAGGACCACAAATGTACTGTTTAGCCTGAATGTAATTAGCAGCCACAACATAGCATTGTGACGATCATGTATGGCAAGCAGAGATGGAGTATTCAGTCTCAAAGGTGCTCTTTCTCCAAAGTACCGTGATGTATCCCTTTAACATTTGGTTGGAACTCCCAAGGTGTAGATTGCAGTTGGTGTATATGCAATCTAGTAGCACAACAGTAGTGTATATATATCTTCACGACATCCTTTTGAGGAAGGGAAGCATTATTATTCCCATTTTAGAGACGGGCACCAAGTTATAGAGAAACCAAGGATCACATTTTTTTTTTTTTTTTTTTATAAGCATTTGCCTTTATGGTGCTAACCAGATTCTTAGAGCAGTGGGTCTTGCACTCGGGCCTGTAGACCATGACTGGTTGGAAAGGCCATGGTAAGTGCTCTGTGGATTGTACCTTTGCACCTTTGTAATGTTTTCAGTTAAAAGTTTGGTGCATGGTGGTCTGCGGGAAAAGTGGAAGATAGACAGCGGTCCATTAGTCCAAAAAAGGTTGGGCACCATTGGACTAAAGGTTGGGCGCCATTGGACTAAAGGATGTGTGGAGTGCAGTAGGGAACTGAGCTTGATTCTCCCAAATTCTAGGCCGGTATCCTAACCATTGGGCCTTCTTTCCCCAAAAAAGAGTAAGGAAACTTTCCTTCAAGTTCTGTAGCAAAGAAAAGATATATCAAAACAACAGTTCGGAGATGCAAGAAAGTCAGTACATTAAGCATGCATTCAGCTCTTAACTGCATTGGTTAGGAGTATCCTATAGAACATGCAATGCCTTCTCTTGATTTTTTTTTTCTGGACAGTTACTTGGGATCTGCTTCCGCCCCTGTTGAAGTCAGTAGAGGTTTTGAGAGTATCTTCAATGGAGAGAGACGGTGACTGTAGTCTCTTGCTTCTTTTCTTCTCTCAACCAGAGACTGAGGCTATGTTGTGCCAGCCATGGTGCAGTCACATTGTAGTAGACTTTCTGCCCCAGAGAACTCGCAGCATAAATAGACCAGACAGGCAAAGGAAGCAGAAAGAGTTAGTCCAAGTTTGCTTCTCATGTCATTAGCCAACCTGAGAACAGATCACAGGCCTCAAGCCCCTGCCTGGGACTTGGACCTTCTGTAGTGTTGTTGGCTACCTCAAGGTATTCCTTCAATTTGCTCAGCTGGAGAGAGATGTTTCTAGTATAAAGAAAAGTAATAATACCTGTTTCTAATTTTGTAAGGTTGAAATCAGCCTACAGAGCAGTTTCCAACCAGGGATGAAGTTAGAAGTGGCCAACAAGAACAATCCAGACACATACTGGGTGGCTACAATCATTACGACATGCGGGCAGCTCTTACTGCTACGTTACTGTGGCTATGGAGATGATCGCCGAGCAGATTTCTGGTGTGATGTGATGACCGCTGATCTTCATCCAGTCGGCTGGTGCACCCAGAACAACAAGGTGCTGATGCCTCCGGATGGTGAGTACTGTGCATCTTGTCAGGGTTGTGTTCTAGTACAAAGGCTGATGGCTAGGTGCTAGTCTGGCACCCAGTCTGCAGTTGTAACTCTGCATCCTCAGCTTTTGTGGCTCTGTTCAAGTCATGTTACATGAGTTGAGAATCAGGTCCTGTGAGTCCCAAGAAAAGCTTTCAGGGACAACTATCCTTGACAGAGTTGGCCACTGAACTGTAAAACCCCCATCCCCACGTGCTGCCCTTACTCCCTTAAAGACTGTGGGAGTTACGCCCGAGTAAGCACAGGTAGATTTGTTCCTTGGGCACAAAGGTTACGTCTACATGGAACAGGGAGAGAGACCCACACTAGGTGTGAATGAACTGGCTCTGCTCCAGTATTGTTCTCAAGAGAGCTACTTAGGTTGGGCTGCTGCATTAATGTTGCATTAGATTGCTTCTGGTATACGAGCCTGCTTTTTCAGAGTCAGCGTGGGTATGACACTGCATTGTCTCATGTAGACCTACCCTAAGGATTAAATACAGCTCTTTAACAGCTGAGGTGACGGAGTGACAGCTGCAGGTTAGTTGTGCTGCTGGGGCAGTCAACAGAGAGCAACGCCATGGTCCCGACCTACGGAGGAACCATGTTCTGTCCGAGCAGTATGAGAAAGCATGGTGGGTAGAGGAGCAAAGTACAGCCAGTGGCATGAAGCAAGTTGGCCGTGCCCCAGCGTGGGGAGAAAGTGCTGCGGCCCCATACGCTGCTGCTGCTTCCATGAAGCCTTTCAAACCTAAGCTCAAGCACAGCCACAAGTTTCTCTTACCACTGACCACATAATATACCCTCCCAGTTTGTTTCTTGAGCAGTGGATGAACATTTAACCTCCAACTTCAGCTGTTTTTAATCAATTTTAGGAAATTTTTAAAATTTAAGGCGACGTATGAATGCAGCTGAAATGAATTTTATTTTTCTTGTTTATGAGAACTGCTTGCAAGGCTTACACTTCATTCGCGTCTTGTGCATGATTTTTTATGGGGGAGAGAATGTATCAGATTGGTCTCTAAGCCAGCGGTTCTGAACCGGGGGTGCATGTACCCCCAGGGGGTACATGAGATATATTTCATACATTGTCTAACACAGGTTGAAGGGCCTAAAAAAAGTCTTGACAATTTGAAAAGTCTTTGTATGAGTATCTTGCTGTTTTTATAATACACGATTAGACGTAGTTTGACATAAAAATTAGTTTCCCATTGAAAGGGGGTACGTGAAGTCTCACTCTGAGACCAAGGGGTACGTCGACTGAAAAAGGCTCAGAACCGCTGCTCTAAGCTGTTGTCAGTGAGAGATGTACGCCCTTAAACCAGGATTGACTTTGGCCTGATTGCCTTTGCATGTGCTGAGCACTGAGACGGGTGCTCTGGACCTGATTTGCCCTGACTGTTGTTTGGAATGAAAAGAGGATCGACTTTATAAATGAAGCCCAAGTGTGAGATCTTTAAGTGCAAATATGATCAAAAGATTTATTAGCCAAGTGGTAATAAATTCAGATCATTTGAGAGGGTTTTGATTTTTATTGGTCTCCTAAACTGGCTTTTATTGCATGCCGTATAATCAATGTTGCCAGCATGTACACAATGCCGAGAATGAAATCACGAAATGCCAGGGTAAGGGGGTAAGAGATTTTATTGATTTCTATAATAGAAAATAACGATTGTTTTTATAACTGGAGGCAATTGCTTTTCATGGATAGGTTGAAATCTGTGTTTTGGGTCTGGCTACTCTTGCGTGTATAGAGTTTGTCTTGGGTCACCAACTTTGTTGAGTCACCAGCTTCACTCCCCTGTACCCTCTGGTCCAGTGAAGGCATCGGGATTGCATAGGAAATCATGGTCTACACTGAATTCAGGCCACACTGTCTTGAAATAGCAGTGGAAGCCTTTGAATGAACAGATGTTAATTTACAGAAGTTGGGTACAATTTTCAAAGATGCCTAAATGACTTAGGTGCCTCAGTCTTATTTGAGAGATTTGGGCACTTAACAGTCTAAAAGTAATACTGTAGAGTGAGAGGATGTGGCTTTACCACACATTGGTTGGTTTGCCATAACTGCCGGCATACATGCCATTACATCATGGCGGATAAAATGCACAATTTACCCCTCCTTTCTTTTTCTTTGAGGGCTAATCTCTTGGCGCTTAAGAGCATCTACACAGGCAATTGCCACAGAGAAACCGAGGGGTTAAAGTCCTGCCCCCTCTTTACCATGCTGTGAATTGCATGTGCATCTGCACATCCCATTGAAAGCAAAGGGAGTTAGGCACTTAAAGTGGGGTTTTAAGTCTCTAAATCACTTCAGTGCTGTGAACATTTCCTATTTGGTCAACTATATATATTTTTTTGTAGTTTTCTTGACAGAAATATGATTTTTAAAATTATTTTGACACATTTCATGAAAAATTTGTGTTTTTTCTATATGTTACTTGGACCTATTGGCAATTTTTTTTCTTTTGTTACAATTTTTGACCTGTATTTGACTGGTCAATTGACCCAACTTTATTTGACCAGTCAAAAACCTAATCCTACTTAAAAGTTAGGTTTTCAAGAGAGCCAATTTAGGTACCTGAAGGAAGCGGCTGGATTTTCCAAAGTACTCAGAACTTGTCACCCCGCATCGAGAGCGCTAGGGACAGTGGTGTCTTGCACAGTGGAAAATCAAGCCAGAAGAAGTAGATCCGTAACTGTGATCTGGGGAGTACCAGTTCCACCGCGCTCTGATGTTTAACGTCACGTGCGTAGGTGCTTTGGATCTGTGTTTCAGTCGAGATCAGGTTTTGTGCATGTGCTACAAGAGGAGCCGCTCTTTGGCAGGAGGCTCCCAAAAGCATTAGTGTTGCATCGCTACCATACTTCTGAAACCTTACTCTTTGTGGTTAATGGCACACTATTGTACCTTTAACAGAAGTCTTGATCAGTATTGAACTTTATGCTGCATAACTGAGGCAGGATCCAGACCCTTAATAACGCTGCAAGACATGCAAGCAGCATGGCTGCAGCCCAGCTATCTGTCGCGAAGATTTGATTGCGGTCCGTCATTGAAGCGCTCTGTTTAATAAGCAAAGAAACAACTTGTTCGACCGGCAGGCTGGCAGCACTGGGAAGTGCTGCGTTCCTGCTTACCAATCGGCTCGGTCTAATCAGTGCTAGTCTTGCTTATAAAAGCAATACGTTACACCTCCGTAACACGACCGAGAGCATTATGAATGTCATTAGACTGGAGGGAGATGCAAAAAGCGGGTCTGTTCAGTTTAGCGAATCGATAGAACTTGATTTAGTCTTCAGCACGTGCCGCGCTTTCAAGGGGCAGCTGCCAAAATAATTATTGTTTATGATCCCGGTATAAGGAAGTCATTGAATTTACAGGCTGGTGCATTATTATTTATTGGGCGGTGTTAGCATTGCATCATAGTGCTTGGGACCATGATGTCAAGTCATGTTATGTCCTGCCGTGACATTATGATGCGATGCAGCAGAACAGATCGTACGGGAGAATGCCTCCGTATGCAGTAAAATGTATTGACTTAGGAAAGAAAAGCTTGTGCATGCACGTGTGTGCATATGTGTGTCCTTACTGCGGAAAATGAAAAGGACTAAAACTGTACGTTACTTCAAATCTAATCATTAATTATATATTTTTTTTCATTACAAATCGGTGCGTAATTTGAATTGCAAACTCAACTATCCTGGCAGAATAGATCTGTTTACCATTCAAAGCAAAATGAAAATTATTTAAATTAGTTAATATGTAACTCATTTGAATGAACGGATGTTTATTCATGAACTCACTGAAGAAAGTGTAAAGACATCCGTATGGTCTGGAGCTTTGCTGCTAATCTGCTCCGAAGGCATGTCCTGGGACGGGTATTTTTTTCTGTTACATATTAACCATTGGTGTACCCAAACAGGAGCTGCTGCCTAATATAGTTGAAGAGGAAATGTGATGTTTTATTTGTTCTCACTCTGCATGAAAGCCAAGTAAATATTAAGAACAGAGTCTCATCCAAAGCACGTGAGTACAAAGGGAGTCCAACCTTACTATAGTCAGCGTTGGTTTAAGTCCTAAGTCAACGATGCAAATCATAGCTGAGGGCTTGCACTGTACAGGTCCTGCTCTCTCCCTAGAAATGGGTGTGTGGATCTCCACGACCCTGACCTGCTGTTAAAAACTTCCCATTCACACCTGCCTTTGGAAACTGGCCCAACGCTCAACATCTCTTCATGGATTCCCCCTATGCTATCCTCCTTCCCATGACTTCGAGGATGTCCTGGCTGTTTCCTGCGGAGTTAAGAAAAAATTGGTGCCCTGAGCTTTCCATGGCTAATGATGTCTTTAATTGTGAAGGAAAACGGGCCATTTTTCCTCTCCTCGCCATTTCTGTCCACGTGATGTTTTCCTTTGTTGATGACATTTGGGTTCGTGAACACATTTACCGTCGGGTGGAAGAGCAGTGCAGAGAACTTGACAAGTGTAGTAGCTAAATTATGCATTGTGAAACGCACAGAGAGAGCAGTAACATCTTTTGATTGACACCTGCTTTTTTTTTTTGGATACAGATTGCAGATTTACAGCTGAGCCAACAGAGCAGAGCCTCTTCTGCCGTTAGCTTAGTGCAGTGGGGGGACAAAGTTAAGATGCTAGAGGATGAAATGATTGTGTAATTGCCTGTAATTGCCATGGTAGTTGTGCCTTAACCTTATGGATAGATAATAATTCAAAGGGGGCCATCCCTATCATAAATCTATATGGTGAGCTTGATTTCATTCTCTGTTGCGCTGGTATAAATTTGAAGGTGCTTGCCTGAAGTAAATGGAGGAAGGCAGGGGTGAACGAGGGAACTAGGTCTGTAAAGTGATTTTTTGAATGTGTTGAGAGGATAAAAACCCGAGGGACACTCCTTCCCTTTCGTGCTCTGCCATGGGATCAATAGGACCATGTTGACACATCAGCTTTTACTTCTTTGTGTGT